CGTTTCGCACTTGTAACAGGTATCCACTTTTTTGTCCTTTCCCCCTTTCCTTTCCTTTTGATCTGAGCGTCACTGATGATTCTTATGTAGACGAAACGCGCGTCTGGCGTTTAAAATTATAATCCTGGTACCTTTGTTTACTATTTACAACACTGGGTCGATGCCACTGCTGGTGGACGTATCGTCCCCGAGGGTATCACCAGCCCAGTAGTCAGCACTTGGGTGTTGACATGAATATCAATTATATGGTCATTTTATAAATTTCCTGTTACAAAACTTTGAATTTTTCGAAAACTAAGGATTTTCTTATCCCAGGAATAGATTACCTTAGCCGTATTTGGCACAACTTTTTGGAATTTTGGGTCCTCAAGGCTCTTCAACTTTGTACTTGTTTGGCTTTATAACTATTTTGATCTGAGCGTCACTGATGAGTCTTATGTAGACGAAACGCGCGTCTGGCGTATTAAATTATAATCCTGGTACCTTTGATAACTATTTTAATCAAAAATCAAAAAGTTCAAACTTTTAAAAAGCGAAATGATCAAAACAGTACGTTCAATTTATAATTTTTAAAGTTTGCTTAAATATCTAAACTATTGAAATTTAAAACGAAGTTTATAATTTAATAATTTTAATTATTTGGTGACATTTTCAAAATTCGAAAAAAAATTAAAAAATTGGAATTTTGATATTTTGAAACTTTGATAAAAAATCCAAAAAACTAAAATTTGAAAACTTTTTGAAATGTTCAATTGATAAGTGTTACACGGACCGTTAAAATCGGAACCATAAATAATCACAGTCTTTCGCAAAATTCACATTTATTGAGGTTGCGGTTTTATCTTGAAGGTCAATATCAAGTAACAACTTAAGGAAACGCATTTAAACATTTGCTTATGAATACAATTGAAGCATAGAATGTCATGAGTAATAATTATAGGATATCGTTGGTCATCTCGACGAGATTGATTTTCTCGCTTGAGCCGGTACGGCGAAAGTGAAAAAAGCAATCGAGTTGAGATGACCAATGATAATCTGTTTATCGCTATTTTACCTATGACGACGTTGTTAATTTCATTGACAACGGTACGTGCGCCCTTAGTTTCTAGTGATAATTTTTCATATCACTCTACTGTGCTGAGAAGTGAAAATTATCAGTCAGTAAGATCACAGGAAAATTTCGTAAAATAGCGATAACATGGTTTATACGCCACCAAGATCATACCACAGTAAAAGATAACATTTTACATACAAAAATTAGATACTTTAATGCGTTTAACGGTAGAATTAAAGTGAATTATCTAAATATACATATCGGTATATTAAGTTACATATTTTTTTGACAACTTTATTCCAACGAGATAGTATTCACAACTGGTAATCTTAATCATCTTTTAGCAGATAAGGATAATTCATAAACACGGGTTAAATATTAGTCTAACTGACAGCAACGCTTTCTTAAGAAAAAAAAAACTTAACAATACAACCTAATTTCATCAACTGACATATAAAAAAGAAGGCAAATGTTGTTAAATAATTATAGCTATATTTGTAGTAATTTCAACATCTAGCCAGGGGCGGATCCAGAACCTTGATGTCTGGAGGGGACTATGAACCAAAATTAGATATTTGTTTAGAGATGTATATGCAAGTGTTGGTGGTAATGGTGGGAGTTTAATTTTTTAACATTTCATCCTATTCTTTATTCTTCTGCCCATTGATCTCTACTATATTCGTCCTTAACATTCATGAAATATTTGCCATTAGACGTTAAGTAACCAACAATCAATCAATATATTCTTTATACTTCATCATCTCTTTATTAAGTTATCTATATTTTTTGGTCCCGCTTCTAATCTAACATTTTGCCCATTATTCTCTTATCTGAAAACCCCGTTCAGATCCTCATAAATGGTGACCCATTCATAGTCTCATACATGGTAATTGAAACAAGAATTATTTTAGACAATACCAATCCATTTTTTTATTTTGGGGGAAAACGAGGGGGGGGGGGGGGTAAAACAATTTGTTAATTCCTTTGAAAATAAATGGGAAAAGAAATATATTAGTTTGTTGTTGAATAAAGTCACAAAAAAGACAGTTTCGAAAGAAAAGAAATTCACAAGAAATGGTAATGAGAGTATTTTGTTATGAAAACATATTTCATATATCAATACCAACATTCTTGACACTAAACATCTATTTGTACATATTCTTTAAAACCACAGATTTTAGTTAGTATATAATTTCTTTCCTGATCAGAAGATTTCACCTGTTAATTGATCCTAATCGTGATATTGTATTAAAAACCAAAATAAATATTCTAACTATTCCAATCAACATGTACCTTTTGTAGTTTACATAAAATCTTTTGAAAAGAGACATTACACACAGGTGTCAATATTTACACACCGACCGATAAGTTGTCATAAATCACGCATGTTGAAGCTGGGGTCGATTAACGGCCAGTTTAAGAAGTCAAATCAAGCTGTGGTTAATATCCGCTCTAGATAAGCAGATTCATTAGCAATAAAATTATGTTAGAAATTTTTTGGTGACCTCGACTAGATGGGGGGGGGGGGGTCACGTGCCTCCTATCCGGTAAATCCACCACTGTCTAGCTGTCCATTTGCAAAAATATGAATAACCCATCTCGTCCACTGGACGTAAGAAAATCGTTACCACACTATGCAACTAATAACCAGTACATATCTTTTTTAAGAATGCCTATATGATGCATGGTTCCTAAGGTTAAACTTTCATAACAGGCAGAAATGAAAATAATATCATGTTAGTGTGAAACAAAATTCATAACGATTTGAATTTGAAACAAATACTTCAAATACGGACTTCTGTTTAGATGATGTCACTAATTTCTTTTCTTTCTATTAGATTGTTTTACTTAATTTTAGCTGTTTACATAGCTTTAATGATTGATCATGTTGAAGTTTTGGTATAATGATCCAACTAATGACAAACCATAAAATTATTCTTCCATTCATTTGTGTCTCACAACAATACTAATGGCCGGGCTTTTTCCGTAATTGCAATGGTAATTAAATATATCAAAAGATGTATTGCATTTGGTATTCGCAGGGTCCTAATCGAATCTTAAAACACACTGGAATTAATTCATCATTCAAAGATATTACCATATGTTATGAAAACTGAATTTAATTTATTTAAATCTACACTATGCTGTTGAGTTACCTCGACAAACAATATAGCGAGTTATTCCTATTTTGCAAGACCAAAAATGTTTTGAAGGAGATCCTTACAAAATCCTTCATAATTGCACGTCTAGGCCATCTTTATAGTATATACGATGTTACACCATTATAAGATACATGTAATATCAAATATTCCAGATTGTTTGAAAACATCTCCATAAAAGTATAAGATACTAGACATTTTAGTGACGATAGAACGAGTCTTAGTAACATTTGCACCTGGCTTGAGATAATTAAGAATTTATTGTTCCTATCTTTTTATAAACTGCGGTAAACAGGAAGCTCTGAAGTTTGAGTAACAATTTTCCTAAATTTAGTATGTAGGCATATAAATTCGGTATATTGAACCCGGCAACTTCCAAACGTTTTATATCTAATTGTTTTCTTTCTTTGTCTCCCACGACTTTCCAACTAACCGTTTGGTCTTGAACTAGTCGGATGATTGTGCTTCTTTTAATGAATTTATATGGAATTATATCATATTTTCGTTTTTAATTACCCCTGGGTCGGCAGACGGTTTCATTCGCTTTGTTGTCAGTGATTGTTATAACTTGAGCAGGATTTATATTATGCATTCTATTTGTAAATCCAATCGGTAATATGTGGCAATTGTTTTTTTAAGACAAGGTTGAAATTTATCTATTACAAGCATAAGACAATTTGTATTCCTTTAAGCGTATTCAAATCAATTTGGTATTTTTTGAATCTCCAGACCCCAAGGATGACTGCCATGGAAAATAAAAATATGGTCACTTTTAGTCTTTTTCCGACGAACAGTAAAAAGTAAAATAACAAAAATACCGAACTCGGAGGAAAATTCAAAACGGAAAGTCCCGAATCAAATGGCAAAAACCACTATATCCTCATTTTCCAGTTGCAGTCCAAATTTCTAACCCTTCATTCTGACCGACCCTTATAATAGGACCTACCTATTGTGTACGTATGTATTGTAAAATCGTACTCGGACTGAACATTCATGAAATACTGGACATTATCGAACAACAATCAATTAATCATGGAATCGCCAATGTTTTAATTTTCGCTTTCCTCGTGATTGATTTCGTTCGTACCTGAACAACGTTATTCCAGAAACACGTATTGTGCGCACAAAAATCATACCAGATGGTGTTTTCATTTTTTATTCTTGCTGATATTTGTCTATAGTGATGACCTAATGTTGACCCCTTTCTGTCTTGTTTGTGTTAGTTTGTATACTGTCAAATTGGCGTGTATTCCTATGCTTCCTTTCCTGCATATAAACATTCTCCTATAACTGTATTTCATTTTTGTATTTAGTTAGTTTTTTTTTATTACATAAATCAAGCCGTTTACTCTTGTTATGTCGGGGCCTTTTATAAAATTGTGTGCAGTATGGATCTGGTCATTGTTGAACTCTGTATGGCGACCTTTAATTGCTATCATCTGTGTCATTTGGTCTCTGATTGACAGTTGTATCATTGGCAATTTTATGTACCACATCTCCTTTTTTATAGCAAGGAAGTTCTCTTAGATACTACTGTGATTTTTGTATAATCTTGCTTTCTTTATGAAGATTATATGTCATTGGAATAATTATAGAGTGTATACCAACATTCGTATATATATATGCGTAGATCATATATAATATATGATATACGCATATGTATATGCTTACTGGTATCAATAGAAAATAAATTATTGTATGCAGTGGTTCAAGTTAGGTACGAGTTGACAAGGTACGAGTTTGCAATTGTACCAATTGACTTGCTTCCCTTTAATTTTTGTTTAGCTATAATGGACATCACACTTTTGTAAACATACCACCTGAATCGCACACAGCCTGTGCATTGGTGCTGTGATACCCTTTCCTGTTGACATATGAGGCTTCGTTAGTGGTAGGTGCCTGTATTCTAACATGGCAACTATTTAAAATTTTATTGTTAATCTCCAATGGAAGTCTTTAATGAACTATTTAAAGTTAAAATTGATTCGTCTACGGGTTTGGATGATGTTGGTCTTAAAATTCTAAAAATAAGTGCTTCAATAATTTATGAATCTGTCGCGAATATTTCTAATTTAAGCCTTTGTACATTTATATTTCCATCGACCTTTAAGTGTGCAAGAGTATCACCTATACCTAAATATATTCAATTTTATTGTGAATGTTTGTGGCAATACAAGTTTAAACAAACAATAAACAACAAAATAAAGCAAAACAGTATAAAAAAAAACCACACAAAACAAAAAAACTAAACAAAAAAAAAGAAACAAAATAAAAACAAAAACATAAAAATCATAAGTGATAAATATACAATAGCGATGTTCGGGATTTCCGGATGTGACGTCACGGAAAATTTTTGGATGGCAAAAGAAAAATTGATGACAAAATTGCAAGTGATAACAATGGAAAGTCCAAATTTTCGACTTATTACCATTCCCTTCCAAATGACGCTAGGAATAGATATTCAACAAAGTTACTTTATGATGCTGGTACCAAAAGTTTACCTGATCCATATGTATTGACTGAGAAATGGAGCACTGACAAGAACACATGGCCAGATCTCACATTTGGGGACATCTACCTGTATCTGATAGATACTCCATCAATCTTTACGAAAGAGTCCATGAAGGCATACAAATCATTAGAGGCATACAAGTAAGTACCGAAACATTAATTATTGACGTATTTCAACCTTCAGTTTGCTTTTATTATCGCGGAAAAGTCGAATTTCCCCAAAATGTATTGCAATACACATTATTTACAGGTGACGATTTGTTTACACCACGTGGTATCCTTTATGAACATACCCAACTATCAATGGAAATTTACCTGAGTTATAGTACTGTTATCAGTGCTGTAGTATACTAAATAAAACCTTAAGAGTGACAACTTCAATCTTGTTATATAAAGTAACAAAAACAGAAAGCAAAAGAAAAATTAAGTTTTGATTGAAATATTATAAAAAAAACATTACCAGTAGAATGAGAGTAATACACATTTTTATGGACCTGTATGCCAAGAATGTATATTATTATTTTTAAATGAAAAATGATTTATGACATGAATTCAAAATTTAAAGACATTTGGTTTTATCATTCTTACCAGTACCATGTTTCTATAAACCTTTAGTCTTGATGAAGAGTCTTTCACATGTATTATGTTCATTGTATAAGGTGATTTTTTTGTGAAAAAAACAACAATAAATTATTTTTTGTTTTAATCATTTTAGATATGTTGTAAGTGGTCACGTCCGTGTTGTATTGTCACATCAGATTTCGAATGACTGTCCATATGTTGCACTGTCGTCTAAAGTCACACCATCACAAAGGGCCAGATACAAGCCACATGAGCCTTGGGTTTATTTAGAGAAGACGACAGGAACTGTCACGTGTGTCCACTGTACCTGCATGGCAGGGTAGGTGTCACTGTATTGCATACTTTATGTATATAAAGTTTCTGTAGTAAATATTAAACTTTTAAGAAAAATTCCAGTTTAGTCTTAAAGAATATTTACACATGTGTCAGTATTTAATGTCAAACTTACAATTTCAAGCATGTCAAAGAACACAGTAAAACTATTTTTGAACAATTTATTTTAAGAGAATACATGTATATCCTGTAAGTCATTGTCAATGAACATATACAAAAGAAGATATGGTATGATTGCCAATGAGACAACTCTCCACAAGAGACCGAATGATGTCTTTTTTCCTGGTGATTATATTGTGCTATTTCATGCTTCTTGTCATCAATAAAAAAAGATTTCTGATTCCGGGATGTAATGAAGTGCAAATAGTTAATAGTCTGTTGTCATGGTTGTTAAAACTTTGTTTTCCATTGTAGGTTGGGTGAAATATGCAGCCATGTCGGAGCACTTTTATCTAAGGTGGAAATGGGTGTGAAAATTGGTATGACAAAGACATCATCTACCAGTACAGCTTGTCAGTGGAATAGCAAATTTCGGAAAGAGGTATTACATTTGTTGGAACTTTATTATTATTGTTCAAATTTTTTTGGCATTTCATATACCTCAAATTAAAAAGTACAGTCTTTAAACTTATACTCTCAACCATAATTAAGAAATGCCAAAAACATATATAAAAATAATTGTAAGATTACATGGTTATAATTTTGTACGCCATACACAGGTTTCCTCTTAAAAAGACCCGCAGTGATGCTTGAATTAAAAAAGAAATGTAAAATATACGGCATTGAATTGAAGACTTCAGCACTCATGCTTTCAAGGTTATACATAACATGTAGTTTTTAAAGTAACCAACTGATTTTATGATTGGTGGAATATAATATGAAGAAAAAATTTTGTTCAATTGCTCTTTTGTTTTTTTTTTTTTCAATTTATGTGAATTTGCTTTTTTTTTAGATTGTAGGTTATTTCCATTCAGTAAATGAAAAAAAGTGCTAATAAGTTATGTTTTTGTAGGTCACTCCAGCAACAGTGACAGAGATTTATGACCAAATAAAAGGCATATGCAAGAAAGATGTCCCTAACCTAATGTCCAAGCTCATGGCTCATCACCTTTACCATCAACCTCAGACCTTCAACTACTTTATGCTATTGCACCAAAGTCAGTCTTTTTTACCTCCGTAACTATACCAGGTAAAGAAATGCTACCTCCAGTGAAGAAACCAGAATCCACAGATAAGTTTCCAAAACTTTTAACTAGCCTTCATCAGCCTGATGCTTCTCCAAATGCAAACTTCATTATTGACACTTTTAATAATTACACCGTCACAGAATCCCAGGCCTTTCACCTTGAGGAAGCAACACGCAATCAGGCAGTGATTCCGTTATAGTTTGAACATAGGAAAGGCCGCGTAACTGCATCGAAAGCACATGATGTACTTCGCATGAGGGAACAAACATCAACAGATAACTTAGTGAGGCGAGTTTGTGGCTACAACAGCTATGACTTATCTAGAAAAGATGCAGTCCGTTGGGGTATTGAACATGAAGATGAAGCCCGTATAGCCTATATCAGTCACCAGAAAACCACACATATACACTTTGAATGTAAACTTTCAGGATTCTTTGTTAACTCCAAGCATCCTTTAGTAGGGGCAAGTCCAGACGGAATAACTACTTGTGATTGCTGTGGTAAAGGTACCCTTGAAGTCATGTGCCCATTTAAGCATAAAGACACACCTATCGACAAAGTTCCTGCCAAAGACTCTAACTTTTCTTTGGACAATATGCTGCAACTGAAACAGAACCACCGTTACTAAACCCAAGTACAACTTCAAATGTACCTTACAGAAAGCAGTTATAATGACTTTGTTGTGTATAGCAAATGTGATCCACCAAGTATGGTTATTGTTAGGTTGAACTTGGACTTAGACTTCTGTAAAACTCTTCTAAGTAAATGTGATTCGTTTGTCAAAGACCATGTTATACGTGAACTAATTACACAGAAGTTAAACAATATGCCAGTTACACAACAGTCAACATGTACCACTGAAACTATGAACAATAATGACCAGCCGTCTGCATGGTGTCTTTGCGCAGAACCAGAATATGGCCGAATGATTAAATGTGACAACCGAGAATGCCCATACCAATGGTTCCATTATAAATGTGTCAACGTTAGAAGAAAGCCTAAGGGTAAATGGTACTGTATTAATTGTGAACCATAATCAAAAGACTTTGAAACAGCAGATGTGAAAAAAACATTCAATTAACTTTTTAATCTTTCATGAGTTCATAAAATAGTTGTTGTAATTATATCATTTATTTTTCATGGAAAAATAAAAGTATATATTTACATGATATAGATAACAGTACAAATAACATGCTTATGTTTTATATTGTGACAAATGAGCACTATCTAACAAGTAAATAATGTAAATTATTAACAAGGTAATTGAGTTTTCATCTCAAAATACAAGAGAAATAAAAAAAAAAACAGTAACATCAGACATTGGAAAAGCTACTATTGAGGTTAAAACATAAATTATGTTACGATTTCATGTATTACTTTCTGTGATAATTTTGACAAGAGCTACTATTTCAGAAAAGGCTATTGTTTTAGATAAACATTTTTGTTACATGATAAAAGCTACTATTGGTGTTTTATTGCACTGTTATATAAAGCTTTAACTGGCCTTTTATGTAAACTCAATTGCACCAATCATTTTAATTAAGTTATATTACACACATTTACAACTTGAAAAACAGGATCTTGTTACACTTTATTCTTTCATGAACATGATGAACTAAATTAATCTAGCAAAATCACAACTCAAATTGTTTTAGTGTTCTATTGCATATGTACATATGTTTATACATTATCATATTTAATATCTAATTTGATTCAATAAATATTCTTATATAACATATATATATATATAAATGTTATGTTGACTATGATATTATGATTTTGTACAAAAAAAATTTGAACATACACTCTTTGCAATATCTTCAAATTTCTTTTTGAATACACGTTTATACAAATTAGGAAACAAGAGCTGGTGGTAAATTACAAATACAAGAACAAAAAGTCACAATACTGTCTGAATGAGGCACGAGATGAAGGTTCATGTTGGTACTGAGAATGTTAAAGTTTTTTACTCTTTCTATAGCACGTTCAACATGTATGCGTACATGAGCAATCTGTCGTGTGAGTTCAATCTCTTTTGAACTTAGTTGAGATTTTCCCCGAGTAAATGCTGGGATAGTAGCTCCATGACTTGCTAATTCTTCAGAAATCAGAAATCCACGGTCTGCTAAAACTTGGTCATTATGTTCTAATTTATTTAGGTACCCACTGCGTTGAGTAATTACTTTATCTGATGTCCTTCCACCAAATGCACGTGATACATAGGATATGACATGTGACCATCTGTCTGTTTGTTTACGGTACCCATATGAACAGATGG